ACACACACACACACACACACATATATACATACATATATAGAGTACATGCATATAACATGCGTTACACCCATGTCACATTATGCCATGTTGTGAATTATATAAGTTGTCATTAACATTGTTCTGGTCATCTGACAGATGACAGATGTCCATTGTGTTGTTATAGCGCTGTATTTTATGATCTCATCATCATTTAGAGTCAAATAGACCATAAAGCAGGGTATGCTTTAGGGCGGTGCTACCTTGTGATTGACATGTTGCGACCACGTGTTGTCCATGTTTTTGGCCCCTTTCAGTGTATTTTGAGTTCATGAAAGTTAATTGTAACAGTTTGTTCACCTAAAAATTTCTTATTCAGCGGTCGGATGTAAATTGGTTCACCCTCTTAGCTCACTTTTGGTTGCAAAAAAACAAGATGGCGAAAGCCAAAATGCCAAAACTCAAACATCACGGTGACTACATCCACTTCGAATCTACAGTCTAGCCATATTAATAATCACTGATACCAAGTACACACAGTGTGATTATTCATAGGCGCACAAACAAAATGAGAGCAGCCCACAGACATAATACATAAAAACATCTTGCAACATGTCTACATCACCATGTTACATGACTGCTCTAGGCTACGGTGTCTCATCATGAGGGAAGACTTCTCATGTTATAACATGACACGTTTGATTTAACGAGATTCGTTGGTTGTGAAATACTGAGAGTTCCTTTCTTTTTTTAACTCATAGGACCCTAGCCCTATTTTTAGGCCTCTGCTCGAAAATTGCATAGCCATACTCAGAGTCCCGAGCTCTAACTACAAGGTCTATTTTAATAATTTTGATGCTAGAATATTGGTAACACTTGTGAGATGTGTTGAATTGTGTAAATATTGTGTATATGTTACTGGTTAATAACTGATACACTTATGGCACAGCTCAAATTGAAAAATTTCTAGGTTCGCCTGAAAAAAAGCACTTGTATTGAACATTTTTTTTTTTAACTAATGCAGCTGCAAGCCTAAAACCACGCCACAGTCATAGAACAACACGTTTTACATGTCCCCACAACATATTTTACTTCGATTGAGTGAAGCAGGCCAGCATAAATGGTCATAAAAATCAAAATTTTGATTTTCGGAACCAGCTGTTGCATTGCTGTATACTAATTTTATATATTATATAACTAAATATTCACTTTTCTTATCACTAAGAGTGTTCAATAATCCTAATAAATCAGTTTGACACCATTTTGAATAATTTTGAGCAGTTATGATGTGTCATATCTGTCATTCATAACAATAAATGGCTCATAATGTGTGTCTATGTGACCCTGGTAAGGCCGATTTACTCGTGTGAGACATTTTTAGATGCGGGATAGTCCAACGGGAGCCATGCAGGGGTGTTTGATCGTATCCGGGTCTGTTTACTGACTAAAAATCGCAAAATGCTGGGCGAACCCCCCTCTCTACATGGATTGCTCCACCCCACAGAATCATCTGCCATTTTGTGATTCATTCCGCCAGCGCATTGATCTCACTCACAGACATGCAGCAGAACATGGCGGGCAGAGCTGTGCAAAAATCGGCTCGAATAAATCCGTTTTTTCGTCGCCAAAACTGTCAAAACGTAAGTTTTTTTACCCAATTATTTTTCTCGTGACCTGCGGCTGATGTTGTCATGCATACCCATAACTTTTGAACGGTTTGAAAGAGAGTAATTTGGACGCCGCTGTGTGTTTCCGGGTTGAATCGTGCCCCTCCTGCATGTGTTCATCCGCCATGTGCGATCCTGCTCCGTGATGAGAGAGCCATAGAGTGAGCATAGTGCGTCGATTTTTGGCTAAAATTGTGGCAAATCTTCTAGATATCTTCCAGATATGATATTAGTTCATGTATAATTGTGTTTGCAGTGTTTACAATGGCTGGTATGATGATGTTGCTCGGACTTTTCCCGTTAATTCGATATTTAATATGTCTGGAGCAATAATCATATTTCTTTATGAAAAATGCTTTCTACGACACGCTGAATGCTGCACACTCTAAAACAGCCCCCCGTGGGGGGCTCTCGGGTCCTATGGGTTTTTAATAGCACATAAAAAGGAACATTAAAAGAAATCTAAATAATAATATAATATGCAAGGGGAGGCCAAAAGCCTAAAATGGGACGAAGTACCTTGCAGCCGGAATTGTCTCGATTCAGGTTGTGGTCCTGCTGTGATCTCGCGCTCTGAGCCCCGTGCCACTTCTCCAGCAGTGGGAGGATGCTGAGGGCGTTGTCCTGAGTGATGGGCATCCTGGCATCCTGGGCCTGTCGGGGGGGGGGTCCCTCACCAGCAGCCACTCTGATGCTTCCGACAGCTGGCGTAGGCACGGGAACCGTTGTGGGCCGACAGCCCCAGATCCATCTCTAGAAGGGGGGGGGGGGGGGGGCGTCGAAGAGAATCTTAACAAACTCTACTCTGAGATTTCCAGACGAGCCGGGGTTGAAAATGTCGGATTACTGTCGGCTGTGGCATCTGCAGCATCAGGCAATTTCCTAAAGAGAACACAAAAAAGAACATGTTACATTTTTGTAGTCGATAAAAAGGTAAATGAAAAGAAGTGTCACAGAAAGCTTGGCTTCCAGGCCAAAGTCTTTCCTTGAGTCAATGGCGTGTTATTCTGTTCATGGCATTATTTCTAGCCAGACCGAATGAAACAAACGATAAATGAGCGACTCTTCGATAACACGGAACCTTCCGGGCTCATGTGCACATCACACTTCTTATTTTTGATTAATGCTTTCAACTGTAAAACAACTGGCATGATTGGAAAATCATAGCTCAGTAAAAATTCTTCCTCTCCCGTTGTCCCCGTCCAAAACACTAGGGAAACCGGGGGCAATGTGACTGGTCTCTGACATTGCTTTGTCTGAATAACCATATTTTTATAAATAATTTTGATTTATTAATGTAAATTTTTTAGCACATTTAGATATAAGAAAATAACTAGCTTCATAAAACCACCGCAGCCCACTAAATGGCACTCTGGGGCCCGGTGGTTGAGAATAGCTGCACTAAGTCATCTATTAGTATGGCACCTTCACATGTGATGTTGTGCAAACGAGGAATTTGTCAAAATTAATTGAGCCACGACAACCCTTTTTGAGTGCCTGTTCTTTTTAAAAACAGTTTATTAATGCTAAATCTAACCATGTCTAGTATTGTGCAACAGCCATAAATACACCAAAACAAACAATTGGCCGGTCTCCCTCCACTTTGAAATAAATAAAAACCAACAACTGCCTGGATGATTGAAATAAATAAAATCTATCTAAAAACATATGAGTTATACTGTCTAACTGACAGTGATTCTATGAGTTGTTGTAAATGGTCTGAAACACACTATACCAGTAGAGTCCTTCGGGGGCCCCCATTCACACAATGAAGGGCTCCTCTGTGAAGTGAGGAATCTGGGTTGACCCTTCATCTCCACGCTTAACTACAGATGGAGAGCTGAGTGCAGCCACATCTGTGGCCAATAGAGACAGAAACGAAGGCTTCCACCAGACCACACTTTAATGACTATGCAGAGCTCGGGCTTCAAATAAACTGTTGGGCTTTGTGGTCCCATCTGCCTCTACTATTCCTGTACACTCCCAGCCGAAGGCAAACGGGGCCTGCCCAGTTCTGGCCTGAGCTGAACCACGGATTGGAATAGGAGGTGTGGGATTACAGGGAAGTCGAGGAGGTGAGGGTCTAGTGCAGGGGTCGCCAATTGGCGGACCGCGGTCCAGATCCGGACCCAGACGCCGTTGTACCCGGACCCAGGACCTAAAATCGATTTTATTTTGACTGAGCGCTTCTATTTTAACCGGCGCAGCTTTTTCAGCCTTTACAGCACTTTTTCAGCCTTTACGGCACTTGTTCAGCGGTGCAGGAAACATACCGACCAATGCGTTGTAAATCACATCACGTGATGCGGCTCAGCCAATCAAATATGGGTATTCTGACACTTTTCCTGACTGGAGTGAGATGTACACACACCGAGGGAGAGACGAGGAAAGAGAAGGAAGAGCAGGAGAATAATACATGAGTCAGAGAAGTTCACATAACGTTCTCCAAAAACAGAAAAGTGGTCAAAGAGACCAGAGTCTTTAACCAAGAATGAACAGACTCTTATAGGTTAATTCACATAACTCATAATTCTTCTTATAACCAGTGTGTCTCATATGTTTAGAGACCGTGACGATTATTAAAAGCGGTAAATGAAGCGCCACTATGAGACAAAGCACAACTCTTTTGAGCAAATGTACCCACTCACATCTAAATGAAGACACAGAAAATAAACCGAAGAGTCCAGTATGATCAGAATCATAACGCATTAATTCACTGACCAATGATCTTAACAGAGAGAATAGAGCTGAAACAAGTGGTTTAATAACCACAGATAAAGTCCATGTACAAACGTTTCTCTTTTTAGAAGAAGAGAAAAATATAATATTGTTGCTTTTTTGATTGGCATCACTTCACACCTGAATGAACTGCCCAGTGAGCACTAACCCGGATTTCAACGTTGATTTCTGGTTGAAAAAGCGCTGATATTGGGTCTGAACGTCTTAGACGTATTTTAACCGTCTTTTGAACCGGCTAATTTACGGTTACAATATCAACGTGTCACAAAACACGAATTTGTTTTAAAACATTGATGGTTTGTTAAGCTGTAGGTTGAAAGAGACGCGATTTTGGTTCATTTAAACGTATTTCTCCAAAATCATATTACGCTGGCCGGTGAAATGTGGTCTACACGAAGACATTATTTCAACGCATTTAATGTTTCATACAAAACTTCGTAAATATGGAACTATAGACTGTGTGCTGTCAACAACAAGCTCCCAGGACATCGTAATGAGAGCAGAGCACATTATGTCTGTATGTTCATGTAAAATACAACTCTGTGTTTACTGCTGGAACACGCATGCGCACGGACTCTGTGCATATTTCTTAGAGTGCTGTCTGCATGATTTGAGCTAGCTAGCTAGCGCTTACTGAGTTGATGAGCGTAGTGAACGAGCTGACGGAATAAACGATGCTTAACGCTAACGACATACTCTGTAAGTACTTGAACTACTTTATTCCAATATTGCAAACCGAAATATCATTACCATACCACTAATATTATGTTATGCTCACCATAGTGGCGAGGCTGCTAGCAATTGTAGCGTTAGCATGTTAGCTTGTAGTGTTAGCATGTTACGAAAGTATTCAGACATGTGTGTTAATATTGGAGACACTTTCTTTGTGGACTGTCCCTGTAGCCCAACGTTATAAAATAGAGTATTTAGGACATTTCACATGTAAACTACACGTGTATTTTCCGTATTTGTCTTACTGTCCGTAGTATTACGGACAGCGAGTGGGGCTGTACACAGTTTAAATACTTGTTTTATTTACAGATATCCAGCTTGAAAATATGGCAGATCTCCTGAAACCGGCTCCTGTGTGGCTTTGAAAACGACATTTAAAGAAGGAGAAGGAGATTATAGTTTTATATAAAGAACATTGTTTATATTTATATTGTGCTTTAATAAATACAAATGAACTGTTGCCTGTGTCACTTGGTCTTTTGTCCTGTAAGTGGAAACTGTTGATGTGTTACTAACATTAAGTATTTAGTTGCTACATATTGATCTGAGAGCATTTTGACGGTTAAAACACGGTGACGTTGAAATCACGTTGAAAAGTGAAAGTTTTTTAGCCGACTATTTGAAGACGTTGATTCAACGTTCACGTTTAGACCAGATATCAACGTGATGTCCAATACTGGCTTTCAACTGATAAATGTGGATGTGGTTTCTTAGTAAGCCTCTAAAATGATGATATATTATTGTTAGCACAATGTAGAGGACGAAAAATTATAGTATTGCAAATCACGTTGAAATCTGGTCTAAACGTTTTACCAACGTCTACAAATAGTCGGCGAAAAAACTCACTTTTCAACCAATTCTGAACGTCTTTTCAACGTTAGGCGTAGACGTCTTTTAAACGTCTATTCAACGGAAAAATGCTCACTGGGTGAATTTAAAGCTGCAGGGCAATTCAGTGAAATAAATTTTTCTAAAATGAAGTACTTTATTTTAAGATGCACATTTTTGAAAAGCTTTCTGTTATGTCAGTTATTCTTTAATGCAGCTCTTATTTTACTTGAAATTAGAGAACATGTATTTATGTATTTCTATGTATTATTCATAATCCATCCAGTTAAATGTGAAAACTGAGAATAATAATTGTTAAAATATAATTGAAGTGTACTTTCTTTATTTGATTTGACAGTTGACTACACACACGTTACTACTACTAGACTTTTTGAATATATATATATATATATACATACATACATACATACATACATACATACATACATACATACATACATACACACAGTTGTGTGAAAAAGTGTTTGCCCCCTTCCTGATTTCTTATTTTTTTGCATGTTTGTCACACTTAAATGTTTCAGATCATCAAACAAATTTAAATATTTGACAAAGATAACACAAGTAAACACAAAATGCAGTTTTTAAATGAAGGTTTTTATTGTTAAGGGGAAAAAAACCCAAACCTACATGGCCCTGTGTGAAAAACTGATTGCCCCCCCTGTTAAAACATAAATTAACTGTGGTTTATCACATCTTTGGAAAGCTGAGTTCAATTTCTCTAGCCACACCCAGGCCTGATTACTGCCACACCTGTTCTCAATCAAGAAATCACTTAAATAGGACCTGCCTGACAAAGTGAGGTAGACCAAAAGCTCCTCAAGAGCTAAACATCATGCTGCGATCCAAAGAAATTCAGGAACAAATGAGAAACAAAGTAATTGAGATCTATCAGTCTGGAAAAGGTTACAAAGCCATTTCTAAAGCTTTGGGACTCCAGCAAACCACAGTGAGAGCCATTATCCACAAATGGCGAAAACATGGAACAGTGGTGAACCTTCCCAGGAGTGGCCGGCCGACCAAAATTACCCCAAGAGTGCAGCGACGACTCATCCAAGAGGTCACAAAAGACCCCAGAACAACATCCAAAGAACTGCAGGCCTCACTTGCCTCAATTAAGGTCAGTGTTCATGACTCCACCATAAGAAAGAGACTGGGCAAAAATGGCCTGCATGGCAGAGTTCCAAGACGAAAACCACTGCTGAGCAAAAAGAACATAAAGGCTCGTCTCAGTTTTGCCAGAAAACATCTTGATGATCCCCAAGACTTTTGGGAAAATTCTCTGTGGACTGACGAGACAAAAGTTGAACTTTTGGAAGGTG